GGTTATTTACATGTGTGAGCTGAGTGTGTTTACATACAAAATAAGCAAAAATTTACAACCAAGATTTGGAGGCTATGTTGAAGTTGACAGAAGTTACCATTTTTTACTAGAAAGCGATCCCGTACTTTTCAATGTTACTCTCTCGCTCTGAGCGAATTTTTATTTTTTGACAGTTTTACTACACTTTTCCAAGAGTACTTCAGAAAGCATCAAATGCTCTTCAGAATACTCATTTGTACTTCAGAAATAGTAAAATGTACTTCAGAATAGTAAATTGTACTTCAGAAAAAGTAAAATGTAATTCAGGATAGTCAATTGTACTTCAGAAACCGTAAAAAGTATTTCAGAAACTGTAAAGTTTTCTTCAGAATAGTCAATTGTACTTCAGAAACTGTAAAAAGTATTTCAGAATAGTCAATTGTACTTCAGAAACCGTAAAATGACTTCAGAATAGTCAATTGTACTTCAGAAACCGTAAATTGTACTTCAGAAACCGTAAAATTTACTTCAGAAGACGAAAGTTACTACATACATATTGTAATTATTTGAATGGTATATAAAATAGTATTTTTAAATGTTTATTTTTTTTAATATATTTTCCAAATTACAAGTCCATAGAAGCAGTTTGTAAATATATTAAAAAGTAAATATATTTAAAATCACTATAATATATATACTATTTAAATAATTACAATGTGTACGAATTTTCGTCTTCTGAAGTACATTTTACGATTTCTGAAGTACAATTTACGGTTTCTGAAGTACAATTTACGGTTTCTGAAGTACAATTGACTATTCTGAAGTACATTTTACGGTTTCCGAAGTACAATTGACTATTCTGAAGAACATTTTACGGTTTCTGAAGTACAATTGACTATTCTGAAGTACAGTTGACTGTTCTGAAATACATTTTACGGTTTCTGAAGTACAATTGACCATTCTGAAGTACATTTTACGTTTCCTGAAGTACAATTGACTATTCTGAAGTACATTTTACAGTTTCTGAAATACATTTGACGCTTTCTGAAGTACTCTTGGAAAAGGTGTAGTCCGAGTCCAAAAATACTTTCAAATTCATTAGAATCGACTTAAACAAGTAATTAAATATGATTCAACATGAATTAGCAGAGTGCGCTTTTATTTTGTTTACAATTTGGTTGCCAGACCGTGTGACGGCCCTATGAATGTCAATTAAATGGAACTACCCAAGGCACATATTTAATATGCCTTGGAACAATCTTCTTTTTTGTATCATGTCTAGTATGAAAGGAACGATGTCGACTTTTTCACTTTTCTAGTAGATATATCGAGGATGTATCGCCCAGCAAAACATCGATGCATCGTTTGCATTCCTAACCATATTTGAAGAAGCAGAAGTTCACACATTAGGAATATGGCTGTCGCTGCAGTGCAAAAATTTCACTGCGGCGAAGTATTTGTTACCACCAATTTTTGTATGATTCTGGAGTGCAAATCGTGCAATGAACAATTTGGTGTTTACACAACATTTTTGAATCACATATTTGAAAAACACTTCGATGATTGGAATGCATCAGAAAAGTCAAAACGCCAAAAACCTAAAAAAGTGGCGACTATTACTGAGCAGGAGATTCCTAAGCTTCCACCAGATGATCAATACATAGAAATCGATTCTAAGACTTTAAAGGAATTTTCGTTGGAAAGTGACGAACAGGATTTGATAACAGAAGAATTAACGCCAATGGGTGATGATGTAGTGGTTGTAGAAGAAAGTATAATCGTAAGCTCTTAACCTTTGCATTATTAATTATCTTATTTGTATACATACATGTATGTATGTACGTACACAATAAGTACATACGTAGACTGTATATATTTTCGTAAAATATTTTTCCAGGAAGAGGACGAGCGCCCTCACAAAACTATAAAGCAAACTCCGAGACAGTTGCGGGCTTATGACTCCACAGCCTCCGGCAGCAAAGGAAAATATAAGTGCAGGATTTGCGGTTTCGCAGGTTCCGGCGCACATAACCTGCGTGGCCATGAGCTACGGCACACTAATATAAAGCCTTTCACCTGTCTAAAATGTGATAAAGCATTCTATACAAGCACAGAATTGAATGCACATACCCGGCGGCACACTGGCGAAAAGCCGTTTGTCTGTGCTTACTGTGGCAAAAGCTTCACAACAGCTGGGATGTTAACTAGCCATGAAAGACGTCATGGCCAACGGAAACATAAATGTGACCAATGTGAGAAGAGCTTCTTTGAGGCTTCTCACCTACGAATTCACGCTGTTGTACACTCCCAGGAACGCAATTATGAATGTGAGACATGCCACGCCAAGTTTACTCGCAAAAAAACACTAAGAACTCATATGAAATTGCATGAAAATGCATTAGGCTATGAATGTATCATCTGCCATATGCGTTTCAACCAGCGGCCTACGTTGCTATGGCATGTGAAGAGTAAACATAACGTACTTCGAGCAGATGCGGAAATCAAAGCCTCTGTTAAACCTATTGATCTTATCTGAGAGCCTGACTAGCAAAATTAGGTTTGTTGTATAAAATAAATCAACATTGAAAGGAAAATCTACATACATCACAGTTATTGCATAAATATAAAGAGATTAATTAGAAAAGAAATGTGAAAAACTAGAGTATAAAAATATACATACAGTGGTGGAAAAAATAATAGGAACACATTTTAACAAATTTTCCTATTTTTCTTTTGTTTATTCAATAATTATTATTATTTTTTAATTATAGCTCATTTTCTAGAAAAAGTTTTAAGTTGCTAAAAATTGCGTTGATTTTTAGAAATTATTTCCATGCATTTTCTTCCATACACACTATAAATACATTTTATATTTTTCTTTTTGCATGGAAAAAATACTTCCCTACTTGACAAATTTAATAGTAAATAATTATAGTAGAAGCTCATATTTAGTAAGTT